GGATTATTCTTTTTCTTCTTGTTGTATAAATTCTCTGATTTCATTCCATAAACGATTCGTTTCGTTTCATTTGGTTCAAAAAGTACATTCTATCTAACTGATTCATCCTATAATTTTTTTTTGTTATACTTATATTAAACCAAGTATAACGAGATTTCAAAGAGAAAAAAAACCTTAAAAATAAATAAACTAAACTTTTATTTCATGAATTGTTTAAAGCAGTTATCCTAATTAATTATATATAATTTCATTTCTTTAAGTTATCTCTACACAATAAATTAAGTATTTTAGTTATAGTATAATCCAAGCAGTTTGAATTATGCTATTTGATTAGATTTTATTCAACTAGATCAGATAATTCTAACAAAAATAAACATAGCACTAGATTTGAAGAATCTAATAATTGTCGAATAATTGTGATAAATTTCAAGTTGAGATAGTTATCAACATATGATTTAGCATTGCCGTGATGAAGTTTTACAATATGTATATCAAATCCTGGTCTTCGCTTTCTGGTATGTTGACACGAAATTATAAACGATTATTGATGTCAGAGTAATGACCCATAGCTTATTCTCATGTCATAAAATGAATAAACATGAGATCTCAAAAATTATACAGAATAATGTTTTCAAAGCAAAAACACTTAGTCGAAGTATAGTAAGGTCATTATCTCGGTGTACTTTTGGTAGAAAGAAAAAATATCGAAAGTAATCTTAATGCAGTATTAGTACACCCTTTCATCAACACTACGTAAATAATCTGCAGAAGTATCCATATATTACACTTATACATGAACTGTGTGCACTGAAGCTGTATTAATAACACTTTCGATATTTTTTACTTTCGGCGTTTTTTTCCTTCTACGAAATTCATACATATCCATGCGCTCTTATCGAATTAATTTTCTTTCAAGGTATTTTGCGTTATTTAAAATTTGTGCCCTCCATGTATAACCTGTTTAAGGTCATGTGTATCCCATTTATATGGTGACCCTGTAAAACACTGTCACTATATTACAAAATTATCATTTTTTTTATTCAAATTTTGTTACCTATTTTTTTTTCAATCGCGTGGTGAAAATCATTATCAATTCGTCAGGAAACTTAATCGATGTTTTCAGATGTGTCCTCAACTATTGATCGAACGACGTATGCGTCATCATCTATCTTTTCGAAATTTTCATGGAACCATTTTGCAATTCTATTATATAGTAAAATTTGACCTTCGTAAATAGAATATAATTGATCACAAACTACTAATTTCCTTATTATATTTAGTACAACACATATTTTATTATGAAAATCAAAATTCTTCTCATTCATCCTGGAATAAAGATAATTATATAGCTTTCATTTGAATGTTGTATTTAATTATGTCGATCCAATCATGATTAGACATGTACGAAACCAAATTTATTTAGTACCGGTAGCTTCTTTTTGAGTAGTTCCGATTGTAATTACGATGAATCTCGTATGTTTCTGGTCTTGCACATGTCTAATCATGGTCACAGATCAGATATATATATATAAAACATTATTAGTAATGCGAGTATATATGAACAAAAATTCTTCGCCAAACTTTCTTTACTATGATATAATATGAATTTCAATAGTTTTAATTTTCTCGCAGTATTAATAATAATTCATTAATATTTGATCATTGATGTTATCGATTTGGCAAGATAAACTGTCAGATTCTTTTTTTTCTTGAGTCATTACAACATCAACAGAAGTTAATATACTTCAATTAGAAAAAATATTCATAGTTATCATCATTTGCAATTCATAAAATGCCATAAGTAACAATTCTGACTGAAATATAAAAGTCAATCAGTGTTCATATTATTATTTGATTAATTTGAATTTGAAATTTAAAATAGAATCGTAATTTGTTCAAAAAGTGATTATTAAAAATGTAATCATTACAATGATGTTCAACATTTGAACTAATATAAAAATCTTAACTTTCATCAAAATTTTCTATTGAAGTTAATAAAGATAATATTTCAAAAATAAACGTTATACTGTGTATGAAAACACGTTGAAATTACAATTATTATTTATTACTTGGATTCATGATTGATCTATTTAACTTTTTGACAGTGGACTTATTTTAATAGCAAATACAATAGAAATCTATTGTTAACATGGTATACTGTAGAAATTATTGGCAATCATAATTCTTGCACTTATACTTGATTTAGAGATGCAATGCTATTAGCAGTGGTATCTAGTTCAGAACATAATAAATATTGAAAAGATCTGTTTTACTATATTTCAGCTTCGGTGTCTATTCAAAATTTGAAACTGTAAATTTTACAGGCTTTGCTGCCAAAGAAGTTAAAGCAGTCACTGATATAATCCGAATGCTAGTTGATGGTTCCAAACGAAGTATATGTTCACGTAATAGTAACTGTAGAAAAAAATCAATGCATTTCAATTTTTCTTCATATCAATATCGTACTGGATCTAGTTGAATCTGTCTGATTGCTTTTTAAAAATTATTAATCGTACATTTTCAAACTAGCATCAATGGTTAGAATTTCAATAGCAAAGTTTTTCATAATAATTTGTCGATAGTTTCCATCTTTTTCTTTATTAAAAATTTATTTTATTTTGAGAAAAAAAAACTGATCGATTTTAAATAAAAAAATACTCACATCCTATCTTATCAAGAATCTTTTCTTCTTATTCTGATAAAACTTTATTGATTAAAGATAATTACATTTAGCAGAAGAATTTTTTCTTGACGTAAGTTTTTAGATGTAATGATGATCTTTATTCAGCGACAAACAAGTTAGCATTATCTTCGAAATTGATGGTTCTAGAATGATATAATTGGTTAGGTGATGAGCCACACATACCTAAACATTCAATTAAAACATCGAAAACCGGTCGATCTTCATCCAGTGGCACGATGATTACGATAGTTAACGTTCAGCTTAATATAATTTTTACTTTTGAATCAAGACTATATATATTATACAGATCCAAATAATCTATGAATATCCTAAAAAAAGTGACTGCACTTTTACAGTATTTTTTTAAAATAAATGCCATATATCTTAAGATAGAACTATGATAATAACGTGTCTTTTACATCACTCATACAAACCAGCAGATTTTATCTTTTTCAAGTTGAAATTCGAAAATAAGTTTTTCTGGTGCTTTTGAGAAGAGACTACGGCATTTATTTTAAAAAAATACCGTAAAAGCGCAGTATCCTTGTAGTAATAAGCTAAGAACACGAATTCTTCTCAGAGCACGTATTTATAGTTCATTTGGATCTACATAATGTATATAGTCTTACCTCAAAAGCGATTGAACAGTTGTACGATTTCCTTTGTCAGTAGAGGCCAACATCATTTTTAAATTAATTGTTTTCTATGGAAGATAAGTCATCCTTGCAAAAAAAAAAACAATTGTAAACATATTCATCAGTTATAATTTACAGAATAAATATTTCTATAAATGAAAAATCTCGACAATAATTCATATTGAACTAACTGTTATCGAATCGACTATCAAGTCGTTCTTCTCAGGTTAAGGGGACATCCTCCCCTTCCGGGGTTTCTCGAGAACGGCTCATCAGAAAAATTTGAAGCTTTCACAGCTGATAGATCTCGATATGTAGAGTAAAAGTTGTCATAGACTCAAAATTTCCAAATACTTCTTTCTAGGAGATATTGAGATTGCAATGGCTAAAAATCGACCCCCAAATCGCCCCCGTTTCTCAGGCACAGTAAATCCGATTGGGCTGAAATTTTTTCTACAGATAGTAGACACACTTTAGGGAGCCTACTTTTTTTGGTTTCTTTCTATCACTTACCGTTCGAATAAAAAAGCCAAAATACGAAGAGCACCCTAAAAAATCCATATTTTTTTGTATAGTGCTTGTCTTGTAAGGCCTGCCAAAACTCAACGATACAATATTTTTCAAAACAAAAAAAATTAGGCCCCCTAAAGTGTTTCTACTATCTGTAGAAAAAATTTCAGCTCGATCGGATTTACTGTTCCTGAGAAACGGGGGACGATTCTGTAGATTTTTGCTGAAAAATCTGGTTTCTAGAAAACCGCGAAGGAAAGAAAAAATCGTGCTATACCCCTACGGCAATCAATTTATCTTTTCGATTTTATTTTTGCTTTAGAGCTATATTTGAGTTCTCAAAACGTTACTAGTAGATAGAGGGCACTTGAAAACACATGTAGAGCAGAAAAAACAAAAAATGAAAAATTTGAAAATTTTGGGTCCGGAAAGGGGGGGGGGTCCCCTTAAGTAGTATAAATATTATTAATATTGTTAGAAAAGTTTATCATCAATAGCTTTACATTTGCTAATTTATATTAGATTTTTTTTTTGATATAGTGTCTAATAAAATTGATTAAGTGTTTAACATTATAGTTGCATAACAAGAATGAAAATTGTTTCCATAGTTATGTATTTGCACTTTAAAGATGAATGTGTCATTTATTACATATTTATGGTTTGTATAAATATTTGAGTAACTATGAGAAGAAGACAAATAATATTCTTTTGTGTCGCATGTTATTCGGACAAGATGAAAAAGAATCGAAAAATTTATCGAATAAAGTGCGACACGTTGTAAAAGCAAAAGAATTCCAAAGGTGAGATCATTATTTTTTCAAATAATGTCAAATAAATTAAATTAAATTTCTAGTAGTTCGATCTTTTTTTTTTTATTTTTCAATTTATACTAAAATTTTTTTTTTATTTTTTTGGTTAATATTACATGAATATTTTTTGTTATTATTATTATTTTCTTTTGCTTTTTTTTCCTATGAGTTAGTTGTGAAGCAAGAAAATAAAAATTGTTTTGAATGACTAAGTATTTCTTCCTTCCTTTTTGTCTAAAAGAAAAAAAAAACATCTCAACATCGGTTAAAAATAAAACAAAACAAATTGAATTGTATATTTATTTATGTACGACTAAAATAATAAATTTTCTTTTGTGTTTTTATAATCTTTATTCTTGACAGATGTCGAATATTCAATTTGAATATGTTGATGAATCATCAATTGATGAAAATTATAAATGTTTAATATGTAATGAACCATTTCAACAACCAGTAACAACATCTTGTGATCATACTTATTGTCAAGAATGTATTCAACGTTGGTTAGATGAAGGTTATTCATCATGTCCTGTATGTCGTCATCCTTTATCAATTAATAATATAAAACTAGTTACAACTCGTTTAATATTAAATATTCTTGATCGATTACTTGTTAAATGTCTACAATGTGGACAAACTGGAATTCAACGTGGTAATTTTAATGATCATATTAATAAAATATGTCCAAAAGGAGAGATTGTTTGTTCAGCATCTGATATTAAATGTCCATGGTCTGGTCAACGTGATCAATTTCAAAATCATCTTATCAATTGTAGTTATGAACAATTGAGACCAGTCTTAGATTCTCTTATTAATACAAATCGACAACTTGAACAACAAGTTCAAAATCTTACGAATCAAGTACAAAATTTACACACAGCAGGTTAAATATCTAATAGAATCCTACGAAGAAGACTAACAAGGAAATCTCTTCAGTTGTTCTCTTTCCATTTCAATAAATTCTTTGCTTATAGATATGGGAAGAAGATTTAGCTGAAGAGGTTCACTTATTAGTGTTTATAAAACATAATTCAGTCTTACAGCGAGAAAGTTATCTTTTCCACATTCTTCAAGCATCTCTCACAATTTGTGAGATGACACTAAAGATTAGAGGCATCTGTTTTGCTTACAATCAAATTTTGATAGTGTATAATTATTTCCCAAGATTGTGCTCACAATATTTCTATTGTTTTTATAGTTCAAAAGCCAAGCAGACGATTAATAACTTTTGATAAACTTTTTGAAATCGATAAAAAAGTTGATTTTGGAACATTATCAGAATCATATGAAGGTTTAAAATGGATAAATGTATGGTATATGCATGAACAATGGGTTAAAGCAAATCATGCATATAGTGGATGGGAAAATGCTTTTACAAAAGGTCATGTTTGTATTGCTTTTAATGGAAAAGGTAATTCTATGAGTATCTGTTCATCAAAACGACGAGGTAAAGATACATTTTCATTAATTTCTTTTGAAGCAACAGCTGCTTGGCTTGATAATCTTCAAATTAATTTAATTGGACGACGAGTTCAAGAAGATCTTTATTCAACAACAATTATTCTTCAATATGATACTTCTCAAGTATTTAATCTTGATTGGAATGACATTGATGAGATTCAATTTATACCAATTAATGGAACATCACATCCAGGAATTCAATATACTGAAAAATATTTTGCAATAACATGGATATTGATAGATTAAAATTCATGTTTGTATATAGAGTATTATTTTAATCTTAATAGATTTATTAAATAAAACAAGAAAATGTTGTTGAGAAAACTATTTATTAAAATCATAAATATTTATTTTGTTCAATTTTTGAATGAATCAAAATTTATAAGCTGTGAATTAATTCTAGTGTCTATTATTCATATTATTATAGTCATATTGCATTTATTAACGTTGAATATTTTAATTGAAAAATTTCATCTGCTTAATAATGTTGTCAACAGAAACTTAAGATGCTTTGTTTTGCAAAAAATAATATCATACGAGTCAAATGTTACATGCATGAAAAATGATCGTTTGTCATATTGATTCAGAAAAAAAATTGCATAAGAAGAAATGAATAAAGAAAAATTATACATTGGCAGTTACTTTTCGTATGTACTAGTTTGTAAATAATGTTCTTGATAATGGCAATATAGTCCTCCAGCAGTGATATATAAAATCCTGATTTTTTTTAAAATTAGGCCTTTAGTCCTGGTTTCTAACCTGCTTTGGTAAACATAGTTCACAGGAATTACTGTAGAATTATATATCAATCAGTGTTATAGAATAAACACTCATGAGAGAAAATCATTTAGATGATCTAAATAATATTTGCCTTGTTCGTTTGCGTCGAAATAAATTCATTATAAGAGATAATTGTTTGGTCGACTACGAAGCACGGCATCAATAAATTGGTTAACTTCCATGTGCATCTCAGCTACAGAGACATGGTTTTTGTGAGAACAGAATTTTTGAAAAAGTTCACGTGAGGCGGTTTATATTTTGTCTAGAAAGCACCGAAAAAAAAACGTTGAGCACATGTTGCAGCTGTTTGATATGCAGGTAACCATTTAGTTTTCATCGTTGCAAGCATCCCACCAGTTGTAGATAAGTCTATAAATTTGTTGGTTTACCACTTCAATTCTGTTAATGGTACTGATCGACAATAATTTCTTAGTAAGCCTAAACTAAAAGATATTATTGTAGGTTTATATAATTTATATTCTGGTCAAATGAATAGTCTCACTCCCATAGAGCCCTGTAGTTCCAACAAAAAAATATCCGACACCATAGTTTTGGTTCATAAAAACAAAAAAAAATCGGTTCCTAAAAAGTGTCTTTGGAATCTGTGAATTATTGATAGCGTATGAAATAACTAATGAGGGTGTTTGTAGAAATTTCTACTTTTCATTTTTCGAACTTGTTGATATTTATTATTTTATTGAAAAATTATTTTCTTAAAAAGATAAAACAAAAAGAGAAAGTTTGTAAAACGAATGTGAGTGTGGTTATTGATAGCCTCTTTCACCACACCCACACCCTAAGAGTGAAGAGGAGTCACACATGTAAAAATTTAAGAGTTGTTACGAGTTTTAAAGTTCTTCAAGTTTTCAACTATTGTGGAACATAAACACACGCCGAAACATCCACAAAGCATCTCACTGTATGTGGATGCCCAAAAAACAGAAAAAAAATAAATTAGTCTATCTCGTATATTGATCAGGTTTCAAATACTATTACTATGTATCTGACAGGTTTATATCGATTATCCATGTATCAATATATTTCATTCTTGGATCTGAGTATAAGAAATACCAATTATTATGATTGCTGATGAATTTAGTAGATCATCATTTTGTGATTTTATTAAACAACGAGCAATTGGATCGATAATTTCTTATTATAAATATCGAACTGAACAGAATTTTTTTATATTCCAATAAACTTTATCAATGGTCTAAATTTGATACTGTGCAAATAAAAATTGTTTTTTTTTCTCTCGACAATCACATAGAAATAAAATTTATGTTCAAAAATTTACTTTGAGGAAGATTGAAATATAATTAGGAAGTTGTATCATGAAAGTACAACTAAAGTCGCAGTATCAGTAAAATTATATTATATTAAAATAATTGCAAATGATCAATAATGTGATGAAAAAAAAGCAGCATAAATTCTTGAAAAAATCTCAATTGATCGATATATAAGTCGATATGTCTGTATAAAAATATATTCTGATAATAAATATTTCTTTTTATGAAATGATTTTACTCATTTTGTAATATGACTTCTCGTACTCTTTAAAATAATCAGACCGAAAAAAATTTCCAAGAGATGAACTATTATTAACGCACCCCCTTGTAGAAGGAAAAAAGAATTTTTATTTTTTATTCTTCAAGGTATTTTTGCATGAAATTGTCGACAACGTGCATTATTGTTTCTTTTCTTTCTTCAAAAGCAAAGAAAGTTTCCTACGACAACTTTTTCTGTTTTGTCCTGTTCTTTTAATGTTGGATTTTTCCAATGATGAGATGTTCTTTTTATGTTAGATTTTTCCAATGATGAGATGTTCTCTTTATTTCTGTAAATTATTTTATTCATTTATCATTTCATTCTTATCGACAAAGACATTTATTAGCAAATGGGAAAACAAGATTATTATCGACAACAATCATTTAATGATGTATTAGATAGTGAACAGCAAAATGATGATGATGATGATTATTTGAAGACATTTGAGACATTATTATTCGAAGAATTATTATGGCCTATAAGGAAGTTTAATTTCACTAATATTATCAATAATAACTTATTATATGATGACGCAAAGCATTATGGTCTTATAGAAAGTAATTCACTCAAATGGTTATATACAGCTGATAGAAAAATGATTAATAATGTAAGAATCTATTCATTTCGGTTTGCTAATTCATGCAATCCTGATTACTATGAGTCATTTATTATAACAAATCATCCGTTTTTTGCACCAACAAAACAACCTCGTCATGGATTAGAAGGATGGTACAAATATACAGGAAAAGAATTACCAAAAACGATTGAAAATTATTTACGTGTAGAAAAAATTATGAACGAACAAGTATCACATAAAACGAAGATCTTTGTGAATAATCAATATGAACGATTGGATATTGAATTTTATTTTCAACATTATTATCCGAAACGATTAACAATTACATTTGAATCTGGTTATCCTGCTACTCCTTAACTAATGTTGTGTAGACGATAGAAGCACGTTTTTCTTTTTGTTTTATGTTTGTATGATTCATTTCATTGAAAATAAACATAATCAAGATGCATTCGAAACTCTTTTTTTTCCATAATAAGTTTTTGTCTTTAATCTTCTAAAATAATCAAAGTGAAAAAGAATAATGATTTTTTTTCAGAAAATCACTATTTTAAATAAAGTTTTTATCGTAATAAACTACTTTAAAAAACGAAAAAAAAATATATGATATCATTGATAAATTCATAATTATTGTTAGTGAGAGTCAATTGTGATGACAATTAATAAGATGTGAACCATTGTTGTATCTTTTTTTTCATTACAGTGCCGTCAGCTTGACTCCAACCTATCATAAGAAGGTAGAAATATTTCTTCCTCTCGAAATCCATCATTAAATGAGAATAATACAGAGTATACGAGTGTTTTGATACAATTGTCATATGCGACTCGAAGACAGACCATTTAACCGGTGTATTGTACTGTAAAATAGGTTGGTATTTCATGACCGTATTTTTGCTGTGTTGTATACATTGTGTTTATGATTAAAATGTGATAACTCTCCATAACTGCATTTGTGCTGTATATATACCGTGTGGCGATTGCGTAGAGTTATTTTCATTCGTAATACAGGGTGCCGTTTATAGTATTTGTAAACGGTTCTATGATAGTTAAACCTCAATATCCCTATATAAACATGTTTATATCGTAACTTGCTAGAAAAATTTCGTTATTCTCTCGCATGATTATTGATGGACAGGTATGCAAAAAAATTTAGTTTTCAATAATCTGATAGAAGAGTAGCAGTAAAGCTTAAAAACTACCATCAAGAGATCTAGACTAAATCAAAATATCCTTACCATATATAGTACTTACTTGTCACAAACAAACGGCGGATGTGCAATATAGAAAAAATTGCATATCCTTATATACACCTGGCAATGATGATTGAATTGACTTCTATAAAACAAACTCAAAGATATGTTTGAACACTATTATCGATTGTATCGGATAAAGTTCAACAAAAACTATCTATTAATATGTAAAGCAGCTCAAAAACATTAATAGGAGCTTAACTTTTACAAAAACAATTTAAGAAAGAAATACTTTAAACACAAAAGCTGTTCTTGAAGACATCAAATCATAAAAAGCTTGATAGGACTCAATCAAGATATATTGATTGTATCTCATTACATAATAACTAATTATGGATTGAAATCACTTCAATGATAACACGAAATAATATTAATCAAAGTTTATAGTCATCAGAATTAGAATATTGAATCGAGAATTTTATTCATTTTATTTAAAAAAAACTCATTTATATTACACTCTGCCTTTTCAAGAAAAAAGTTATTTAATTTTAATAACCGAATTTATTTGTATGAGCCAATCAGATGAATGTATTAGTTCCTCAAATAGATCGTTTAATTATAAATGAACTTGATTAGGTACAGGTAGCCTGATCCAATTGAGTGAGTGTCATCGATGTAACACTCTTCAATAATTGGAAATCTTTATTGTTTTTATCAGAAAATACAGTAAGAAATGAAATTTTTTTGTCGAACAAATCGTAAAGTAAAATCAAAATTTTTTTCACTTCCTGAAAAAAAAGATGCTCACACAATCATAGATAACGTGAACTTCACTGGTCTTTAGCCTTAATAACATGTTATGATATTTTTTTACGTCTGAAAAAAAAAGCATTTCAGGTTTGTTTTTTGAACATTCATCATGAACATCATCATCTTGGATGACAAAAAAATTCTTAACAAATGTCATAAGTGGTATTCGTCAGCCGTTTGATTATCCGAAAAAATCAACACAAAAACAAGATTTTCATCAGTTGTAAACAAATTTTACCTTTAATAAATAGTATCAAATTCATCAGTGTGACCAAATTTCAAAAACTAAACACAGAATTATCAGAAATGTTGATGCATTGTGCTTGTGCAAAGCATGATTTTGATCAATAGTTGCTGTTGTGAATACTTTCAGTGATAAAAGTATCGAGAAACTTTCTTGAATTTCATGTACAGTAAAACCTTTGCATGTGAGCAACGTATGTTCTATCACTCACATATAGAGCGAGAAAAAAAATAATATTATATGTATTGCATTATGATAAACACCCATGGGACACATAGGAAAAGGAGATGGACTAGCTGTATAAGTATTTCAAAGAAAAAAAAAACAATACTATACAACAGCAACAGTATTTGATGTAAGATCTCATCGGTTTTTTTTTGTGTGCTAACAGCTAGTAATATCAAATCATGTCAACACGAGTTGATTTACTTTTGGTTAAAAAAGTTTGAATTAATTAATTCTTGGAAAGAAGAAAAAGATCACCTTGTGTAACGGACAAGCGATTGCAACTAAATACTTATAAGCTGTAAAAAACAAACTGAAAACCTCCCAATAATGAGCATCTTTGCAAAGTGAATGCCTTTGGCCGGTCGCGATGGTACTCCGCATTCGAGAAGTTTTACTATAAAAACAATTTTTAATACTCAAAACGATGGATGTTAAAATTCAATTCTTTTTTTCATTTTATAAGATATTCCTCAATCAGAAAATTTGTTACGACATAAATAGTAAAAACAAAGCAAGATTAACTAGTAGAATAGAATGTAGATTTGTTTGCTAATCTTAATTTCATCTCAGAACATCACTGTACATTTCTGTTCCATGTTTCTATCGCTATATTTCACTATACGTCTCTCTTCTTTTTTTCTTTTATATATATGCTTTATTTCTGCAACAATATAAGTTAAAATGTATTGCATATACAGAAAAACATATCAGATTTCTAATATCGATTTAAACGCATATCACATCAAAGAAACGATCTTTGTATTCTCCAAAATAATACAAAGAGTTGGGTAAATCCTAACTATAAGGAAATATGGAATCAAGCGACCTCTGATGGATCTTGATTGGTAGTCTTCGAGGTGAAATTGATTCATTGAAAGAAAAAAATGGTGACACATTCATTTTTCTCGGCAAAAATCTAAACCGTTTATTAGTTTCATTCCGAGTAAACAAAACAATTAAGGAAAAGAAAAATTTTCTTGTCAAAAAAGATTTCCTCTTTATCTATTATAGATTTTCAATTAGTTAAATATTCGTTTTATTTCATTTCAAAATCTTTTAAAATGTCAATGAAATCAAATTCAGCATTTCAACGTCTTCAAACTGACTATCGTCGTTTAATTAAAGATCCAATACCATATTTAATGGCTCAACCATTATCATCAAATTTATTAGAATGGCGATTTGTTATACGAGGACCAAATGATACACCTTATCAAGGAGGAATTTATCAAGGAAAAATTATTTTTCCGTATCAATATCCTTTTAAACCACCAAGTAATATTTATTTTTATTAATTCAATTAATGATTTATTTAATACAGGTATATATATGTTAACACCAAATGGAAGATTTCAAATAGATAAAAGTTTATGTTTAACAATAACATCATATCATCCAGATTCATGGAATCCATCTTGGTAGAAATTAAAGTTTTTTTTTTTTGAAAACTACAATTATGGATAAAAGTGTTCCCATTCTCGGTATCTTGATTAGCATACATTCTATAGATTGAAAAATTTGTATGCATATATTCCACTAAGAATGTAGATCTAAGACATGAGTTTATCTCGGTTGTTTAAAATGAAACGAGAATTATTATGAATTGCATCTATTTATTTTTTATTAACTTTATAACTCTGAAAATGAAGAACTATGTGAGCCGACTGAGTCTTCAATATTTAATGGTTTGTACTAGTTATCTACCGCATTCATTTCATCAACTCTTCCTAGAATAGTAGCCATTTTCTCGTGATCATTTGGGTGGAAAAACAATTATCTGTTGACGCTTGAAAATCATTATTCAGTAATAGTTCAGTGAATTGAGCTGAAACTTGTACATAAAGTTTGTCTGTAATTAAAAAGTTTCATGAAAGAACCATTCACTAAATGAAAATGTCATTCAAATACAGACTCAAAGACAGCAATCTTTTGACTAAAAGCAAGAACATAGATCGAGTTCTACTTGCATGCTCAAAAATGAGTCATGTACTTGTGATAACAGATATCGAAAAATTTCTTAGACAATCTTTTTTAGACTAAACGATTGAAGTAAAGATAGGCGCCTTTCATTATAAATATAATTGTCGTTATAAACAATCCGAATGATCTGGTACTTCTGAATTAAATTCTTAGTATACTATGTGTACATAAATTTTCAGTCTTCTAGCATATATAGTAGCTGAGATACAGTGCGATGAGAGACGTTTGTCCACTACTGTAAATATCTATTTTGTTTTTTCTTCAGGTCAATTTCATCAATATTAAATGGTTTTTTAAGTTTTATGTGTGATACAAGTTCAACACATGGAAGTATCCAAACAAGTTATGCACAAAAATGCAAATATGCTTATGATTCATTATCATATAATATTCAAGATTCAATTTTTTGTGAATTATTTCCTGACATAACTGAAGAAATAAAACAAATATTAATTGATAGAATAATAAAAACAACATCAAATAAATCTCTAGTAAATAATTTCAATCAAGAACAACAATCATTAATTTTATTAACAACAAATAATAATAATTCAATATCAACATCTTGGTTAAATAGTCTTATTAATAATATAATGATTATTATATTTTTAACTGCATTTGCTATTTTAGTTCGATTTATTCTCAATTCTACAAATGACATACAGTAAAATAGAAAAGAATATAGATATTTTGTCTAATGAAAAACATTTAAATATAAACAGATATATATATGTATTGTTATTTTTTATCATTATCTTTAGAGAATTTTTTCTTTTCTATTCATTGCATTTTTGAAGTATAAATAAATGTTATGATGGAGAAAATAGACGTTTCTTTTTTGTTTTGTTTTTCTAGATATGAGTATTCAAACTAATGTTGTCGGTCCATTGCCTCCACAAACAGGATCA